CGGCGGGGCGCGGAGCGGCCGGCGCTGTCCGTGGTGCTGAATCGCGCGGCGCCGCTGCCGCCGCCCCTGGGCTCCGGCCGCCCGAGAACGGCACCCAAGACTCCGAAGCGCTAACTTTTAATTATGTCAGCCCCACGTTTCGTGCATTAAAATTAAACAGGCACCGAAGTGGCGAGGGGTGGGGGATTATATATTGCTTAGTTATCTCCTTGTTTTTGCAGCTGCTGCTCCTTGGGAGAAAGTTGAGCCTCGCCCGGCTCGGGGTCCTTCTGCTTCTATTTAAAAAGCAGCGACTTGGAGCTCTTCCCCGTGCTCCATTTCACCCTCTCTGCCTCCTGCAATACGCTGAACTTGCAGGCTTAAAACTGCTGGGGAAAGTGAGTCTTGGAGCCAAAACGGCAATGCAGCCCCCTGACTAGAGCAAGGCCTGAGAGCGCCATAATGAAGTTATTATTATTTTATTAGGGGTTCTTATGATAAAACACTCTCTCTCACTCTCACTCCCTTCCCGACGTCAGAGGAAAAGGAAAAGGCACATATGCCTCTGTGCAAAGGGATCCTGCAGTACTGGCCCTGCGTGGATTTTAAAGCTCGGGATGGAGAGACTGGCAGGGGAGATCCAGACAGTACCTCTGGGTTATGTTCTTCTTTTTAAGGTTAATTGACCTAAAGCTTGTGCTGCTATTTTAAGGATTGCAGTTGGATTCAGAACGTTGGTCTTGCATCTTGCACTGTGCTGTAAAAGCCGTCTCAATTCATAGTATACTTTGCTGTTCAGAGGCTTGCCTGGATGGTAAGTCAATCTCTGTTGTCAAACAGCAATATCACTTACAGCGTTTGTGTATGTGTATACATGTAAATATATATATGCATATATACATATATATAAAACATGTTTGAATGCAGCTTTCTAAATCTATCACTAGTATGCTAAATTTACAGGTGAATGGATAAGGTAAGATCAGATCAAATCAATTTGGATCTCGCCTACAATTATTTTTTGCCTCGCTTTGCTAAAATAATGCTTTACGGGACCTAAACATAACTTCAGCTTGAGTATACATTAGGGGAATTTCCATGTCTATGCCTCTTGTGAAAGGCAGATAGAGCAGGTGATATTTCTAAAGCTTATTAGTGTTTATTTAATGAGATCGTACATGCAGAATAACTTTCCAAAGACATTGTCTCTTCAAATTCTCTTATCTATTTCTGCACCTGTATCGTCTGTATCCATCTCCTTTGCTCTGGTATGAACGTGCTATGTCCTCAAACTCCCATCAGATCTGAGAGAGCCTGTGTAGATTTGCTCGCCCTTCCTGCACAGAACATTACAATGTTTATAAAATATTAAATTTGTGTAGTCTGCCGGAGAAGCAATTGTTCCAAAATAAAATCAGCAGTCTAGACGAAACATAGACACCAGAACTTATCAACAGTTGTCTGACTTACATCTTCTGATGCATCTTGAGTGGGTCATAATACCAACTTTATTTTCAGTGGTGCATAAATTAATTACACGCATTTAATAACCAAAATATCATTATATTCCCCCTTTAATATCATAAAGGCTTTACGCCAGGGAAGCACTTAATGTGCAGGGGGCCATAACAGGCTATTATCCTTGTGTAATGCTATTACAGAACCAATTATGCGCCATTATACTTGCTTTTTTTGCAGTTTATGTGATTTGATCCAATCCCGCGTCCCTGACTTGAAAATTTCATCTGGGTACTTTAAAGTCTAATTTTCACCCGGGCTGAGGCAAGGGCCATCTCTCTCCGCTGAGCCTATGTCTCGGATGCATTTTAAAAGTAATTGCAAAGGGTCCCGCCGCATATCATTTGCAGACGGGAAGCGAGCATAAATCCAGAGACCCCTCGCTGTGAACAAAATCAAACTTTGCCGTGGTACGAGCGCTTGGAAAGGCAAGGCGCGTGCAGAGCGGCCCCCCAAAACCCATCCGGCGGCAATTAGCCGGCGCTTTGTCAGCGCCGGGGTCCAGGCGGCGGGGCAGGGCTCGCCCAGCACGGCACGGCACGGCACGG